TGGAGGGCGGAGTCCAGTGGTCCTTACCGGCCACGCGGACGCTTCTTGGGCTGACGACCAGGCTACGCAGCGGTCGTCACAGGGTTACACCTTCAGCCTTGGTTCCGGCTCTGTCTCGTGGCGGTCTACTCGCTCGTCTTCGGTTCTCGGCTCCAGTTGTGAGGCTGAGATCTACGCCGGGGCCATGGCTGCACAGGAGCTTCGCTGGCTCACCTACCTGCTGACTGACCTTGGAGAGCCGCCTCGTTCTCCTCCAGTGCTGTACGTAGACAACAAGGCTATGCTGGCCTTGTGTCGAGAGCAGCGCTTGGAGCACAGAACGAAGCACATTGCTCTCCGCTACTTCCTTGCTCGTGAGCTGCAGCAGCGTGGTCAGTTGCGACTTGCGTACGTGGCCTCTGAGGCCAACACTGCTGATGTGTTCACCAAGGCACTTGCGCCTTGTGACCATCAGCGCTTCTGCACCCAGCTGGGTCTTGTGCCTGTCTTGCCTCACTTGCTCTCCTCTTGACTTCACTTGTACTGTGACATATATATATACCTGCTCTTGCTTGTCTAGCTTTATATATATGTCTGTACTCTTGCTTGTGAACTGGCCTTTGGCCTTGCTCTTGTGCTCGGACTGTGTGGTGACTTTGTGATCCACCCTGAGCTTTGCTTTGTCTTGCTTGACTGGTCTTGTGACCCCTTGTTCTCCCCCACTTTGCCTATGGGGGTGTGTCAGAACATATCTATAGCTTATACTGCTGTGTAGGCTGTAGTGGGGTATCCCATAGGGGGTACAACCCAGTTAGGGTTTCATATTTGTACTGCTTTCATTCATAGTTCATTCATTTCCTGCTTACTCTTTTCACACCCACCCCGACCGTCGCGGCCCCGCCCCGCTCGTCGCGGCCCCGCCCCTTGTCGCGGCCCCGCCCTCCCCTCAGGTCCGTGGTGGGCCCCCCCCCTTTCTCCCCTTCCCCCATTTCCCGTCGCCCGTCGCGGCTCCTTCGGGGGCCGCAAGCGGCCCCCTCAGGTCGCCACGACGGACTGTGGGGTGGCGGGTATGGGGGTGGCTGGTGTGCCTTCCTCCCTTTCTCCTCCTCCTCCTTCGTCTCCCACTGCTGCAGCTGTCGCTGAGGGGGGTGGTTGTGTGGGAGACTGGGGTTTAGGGTTTTAGGGGGGTGCGTGGGAGTAGAGCTAGTGGTGTAGCAGTGGGTGTGTATCAGGGGGGTGGGACTGTGTGCGGGAGGATGAGCGGAGGTTGCCAGTTTGTCGTCAGCAGCACCTGTAGTCCGGGGCGCTGTCCCGGTAGCCCAGTCGTAGCCAGCTGTGCCAGCCGCCCGTGGGTCCGTTGCCCGTCCGCCGCTATTTGAGCCGCGGGGCCTGTTACCCCTGTAGTCCGGGCGCTGTCCGGTAGCCGCTGTGTCAGTCTGCCTCCTGTTGCCCGTGTGTCTGCAGCTTCAGCCGTCGCCTCCTGTCTCCTCTCCCCTCACTCTCCCTCCTCCTCCTCACTTGCCCGTTGTGACTACCACTAGCTTTGCTTATAATTGTAAACTCTAAACTATTTCTTCTTGAACTTGTGCTCAGAATGTGTGGTGACATTGTGATCCACCCTGAGCTTGTTTTGCTTTGCCTGCTCTGCTGATTACACCCCACTTTGGCTATGGGGGTGTGTCAGAATATTATCTTATTGTTCTAGCCTGTAGTGGGGTGCTCTATAGCGAGTACAACCCTTCTAGGGTTTGCTATTTGTATCCTCATTCTTGCTAGTTCAATCCTCTTTCTTTCTTCAAACTTTGACACATGCAGTTTCATAACAGCATAGCTAAAACAGCATTGAAGCTGATTACAGCATACCAACGCAATTGTGCGGCCAGAAATGGGGCACTCTGATTGGTCATTTGTCAAGAGTTAGGAACACTGAGCAGTCAGGGTCGAGTCGAGGTGTGGGCATCGTGCAAGTGCCAAGTGTGGCAAGCTCCCAATCAGCTGACCTGGCAGCAAGCACGGTATCGCTCGGAACTTTTCTGGGCTGGGCGCGCTGCCTGCAGCAAGAGTTTTCAACTGCGTACACCCTATGTGCGCGGAATATTCTCTCCTAAAGTTGCAGATTCAAAATTTTGACTCGGTTTGGGAAGGGGAAATGATGTGCGGTTCTGCTGAAGTACGAGACTCATATGTGACACGGCTTTCAGTTGCACCGATTCGCTTTTCGCCATGTGCGATTCGCTAAAATCGTTTTGGCCATGTGCGATAAGCTATTTAGTTTCACAATTGAAGGGTTATTATAAGCCCCCAATGAATTCGACACTCGAGATAGCGTCGACAAAGTAGTGTATCCATGTACCCCTACTCGAGCACTATTATCCGGAGGAAATCGTTAGTGCTGGCCCGTACACACGTGGGTGTATCGAAAAAAAGTTTCGATGAAGTTTCGTTCTGATAACCTTTCATTCAGTCGGCGGAAACCCCTGTATAACCGGTTTCAGAGTGGACCCCCGATACAAGTTTGAGGCTCAGCTTACACTACTATGACTACTCTGAATTTTCGGACAAGTCAGTTAAAAAAACTCTGAAAAATCAGAAAGGGTGCATAAAAAAATTCTTTGAGTTCAGACTAGGTAAAAAAAAAAAGTATGAACGGACTCTGAATCAGACTCCAAAGTCTGATATCTAGGGCCCTGCCCAGGACATCCTTCCTCGTCCCCCCCCCCCCCCGGAGGGGTATTACACTATAAAAGCGGGGAAGGCTAGGAAAGTAGCTCTGATACCAGGTGTTATGAATGAACTTGCAGAGTGCGCAGTAAAACGAATAACGAGAATGACTGATTACTGAATTACTGAATCCCGATACAATGGAAGTGAGGAGGCCTAAATAGGGGAAGTGCAAGGCGGGGAGGTTGGGCGAGGATGGCTCGGTGATGGATGCGATTGGTGCGGAGGCGACTCGGGGGTGGTTCGGTGCGACGAAATAGGAAGGACAGGTTCGTCGCGTGACCCTCGGGATGGCCGTGCCTGAGTAAAGATTTGTAAATCCTTAAATAGGCAATCAGCTTGAATTGTGCAGGTGTGAAGTTGACTTTTGTAAGGAAAATTCCTTTTCCTTACTTCGCATCCCCGCTCAACGCGTACATCATTGTAGCACCTCAGTCAGCACCGTTACCACTCGCATCAATAATCCGCCCGCCATTTTTCGCATGTCGTACCCCGACCTCACGGCTCGGCGGTAACCCGCGTTCCGGACCTCCGCCTCGACACTTTTCCCAACCTCAGTCCCAGGCCCGTCGCGCGACAACCACAGTCCATTACCGTTACCACTGTAGTTTCGCTATATAATCCTTCGCTCATGCCTTCGCTCATTGTACCTTTGCTTCGATAGTGCAATCTTCGTTCGCTCACTCCATTGCACCCGTAACAACTTTCTTGTAGTCGGCGTGTTGCTCGCTATAACGCAATCGGAACTCATCCTTCAATCATCAGAGCTTTCGATTGTGCCACATTCGCAAACAGCAGTGATGCGCCGCCGTTTGCGGTCTCCGGTCCATCATATTTCTGGGTGCCAGCGTCACCCTGGTTTTTTCGCGACACATGCTGGACGAGCGTCGCACGCACCCATGTCCTCATTTTGTCGCAAACAGGGAAAACATTCGAGCCGCCAGAGGCACATTGTGCAACATCGTGCTGGAAACCTTTATGTATTGAAGACCCCTTGTTCCCGATGACATGTTTGGGGAAACACTTTGACATGTAAAAAAGTTGGATATAGGCGCATCTTGTGCCTAGTGCTCAAGATTTATTTGTGGGTTCACTGTTTTCTCAAGCACGAATCCGTCACAACAGATCCCCACGCGCCATGGCACCAGTCTTTTACGAGCTGCCCAGCCAGGGGTACCCACCTCTGGGCAAAATCTGTCGCTTTCTGGTCTCACATTGAGAGGTCGCCTGTCTCCCTGCGCGCTTCGCTACTTTGGCGAGAGAATCACTACACCAACTTCATAGCAGTCCCCTCCCCATTCCCCTCCCAACAGCACAGCTCCTTTTTCAGTCACTCTCAGATTAGAAAGACAGGGCGCACGCGCCTCGTCTGTAAGTCGTCGGCGCACCACTCTGCTGTACTATCCAGGGATATTTTGTTTGCGGGCTCTTGCGGCTGCCGGCGCCCCTTGCTTGGTGATACCCAGGGCTGGGAAAAGCTTCATCCACTGCCATGATTATCAAACAGCTGGACGAGAAGCCATTCCATCCATACTGCTGCTAGGATATGAGTCTCCGGCTACGCGTGCTCTCGTTCTTTGCCGTCGGAGGCAACGATCGCTTTGGTGCCTTGAAGCTTGTTACGCTACCGTCGCTGCTATCTGAATATGTCCCCTTCGTGACATAGCAAAGACTGTTACAGAGGCTTATGCGTGGTAGGTACTTTTTTTTAGTGTTTAATCTCGGTGTGCAAGTGTCGCAAAGGTAGTCCGCTTGATGCCACAATTGAGCTTTCTAGATTTAAAGAGGTTGAGCAGCGGTGCTGCCACAAATTGCCCGGGCAGGCAAACACGGTGAACAGAGGGTAGCGTACAGTACGCAGGGATCAGACGGAACGAACGGCGCAGAAAGAACGGAGGGCGGAACAGACGGGACGGAAGAAGCGAACGGCGGAACAGACGGGACAAAAGGAGCGGACGGCGGACGGGAGAACAGAAGGAACAGACGCAACGCACGAAGCAGGATAGGCAGCGAGTCTTACTGGGGAGCCACGTGGCTCTCCTAGGCAGCGAGGAGACAGACGGGCGCGAGAGATCGCATCGACGTATAAACTTAGGTCGTCACAGCGCTGTCGTTAGGCCTCCATATTGGCTCTTGTAAGCAGCGAGGAGACAGACGGGTGCTCGCGCAGTTTGCGCCAATCAGAGGCACCAAAAGAGGTGCGCCCCGCCCCTATGACCCTCGCGGAGTCGCAGCCCCCCTTTAGTTCGCACCGCGCATGGTATGCAGATGGCTTCTTGGACACTGTCGCTGATGGGTCAATGTTTTCGCAACACGAAGACAGCGCGGGAGAGGAATGCAATGGCGATGTTTCGAGCGACGAGCTGATTGGTGGGCGATACCGTCGCGTTCGTCGCGTCGGCGCGGGGTCGCAGGCGGTCGTGTGGGAATGCGAAGATGTTGTAACGTCGCAGCGGGTGGCATGCAAGAGCTATTTGATGGCGCAGGCCCCGTTGCGCGACATCGCGGCGGAGGTGCGATCGCTGGAGATTGTGGGCGACCATCCGAACATCGTGCGACTGCACGACGTGATCGTTGGGCGACAGGGAAGCAGCCGAGCAGGCAGAGTAGCATGCGAAGGGACAGGCGGAGCAGCAGGCCGAGTCGCGGAAATAGGAGCAGGTGTAAGGGCATGTAAAGCAGCAGAGGTGGATAACTCGTGTAAACCTGATAAATCATCCGCGCCTCGAATTTCCGCCGTCGCATCTCAGCCGTTGGATCCATCCATTGACGCGAGCGTGCACGTGCTGATGGAGCTGGTCCCTGGCGACGATCTCCTCACGGAGATTCTGCAGCGCGGCCCGCTTGCCGAGCCGCTCGCGTCGGCTTTGTTCCGACAGCTCGCATCGGCCGTCGCGTACTGCCACGCGTCGGGGGTCATGCACCGGGATATCAAGCCGGACAACGTGCTTCTGCTGCGGCCTCCTGATTCCGCCAGCGGCGGGCCTCGCATTGCGACGGGCCCTGCGACGGAACGTGCGACAGGATGTGCGACGAGCGTCGCGGCGGCGATGGGCGCGGCGACAGCGACGGAGCAGCAGATGGCAGGAGCAACGGAGAGAACTGCGAGGCAAACGGGCGGAGCACGTGGAGCAGCACGTGGGGCAGCTGACCCGCCAAGCCAGGGTTTAGGGTTCCAACCACATTACCTTCCGTCTTCCAAGGCTGTATTGAATGCCGGAGCCTCTGGAGCCATAATCGGAGCGAGCAGCGCCGCATTGCCGCCAGCGGGCGGGGGGAGGAGGGCCGCGCGGGAGCCTCGTGCGGAGGAGGGATTGTGGGGGTGGCTCATCGGCGCGCGGCTGTTCCCCTCCGCCGCGGGCAGAGGCACGAGTTCCGACGGGCTCGGCGCGCAGGGGAGGGGCGGCAACAGTCCGCTGCGGGTCGTTCCGGGGAAGGTTGTGGGGAGGCGCTTCGCGGGGAAGAGCACGCGCGTTCATCCCATGGCGGGGGGGGAGGCGGAGGGGACTATTGGCGCTGCGCTGACCGCGCAATCCTCGCACTCCTCAAGCTCTTCTGCTTTCCCCTGGCTTTCTTCAGCCAGTTCTATCCCCTTTGTGCCTACGCCCTCCCCAACCTCTGTCCTCCGCTCGCCCTCGATTGTGTCACACTCTCTATCACCCGCATCCTCCACACCCTGCTGTCTTACAATCACGACAGGGGGAGAGTTTGGGGAAAGGCGGTGCCCCCTCCTGCCCGCTTCCGCGGAAAGCAGCTCGTTTTCCGCCGTGGGAGCGGGGTGGGCGCACGTGGGTGCGGAGAGGGGCATCTGGGGGGTGAAGCTGGCGGACTTTGCGCTGTCCACCGTGGTGGCGGGGGGCATGCGCGGGGCAATGGCGGACAGGGGCGCGGGGACGCGGCAGTACATGGCGCCGGAGATACTGCTGCTGGAGGTGCGGCGGAAAATGGCCAGGGAGCGGCGGAAGGGAGGAGGGGGAGAGGCGGGGGGCAAGGGGGATGCGATTCAGGGCGAGGGTGGTGGTGGGGGTGCAGGGGGAACAGGGGGTGCAGGGGGAACAGGGGGTGCAGGGGGAACAGGGGATGCAGGGTGCAGCTATGGCATGAAGGCTGATGTGTGGAGTATGGGCATCACTCTCTGCTCCATGCTCACTGGCCGCCTGCCAATTGTCAAGCCGGGGAAGCTGCTGGCCATGCTGCATGCGCAGCAGCAGCAGTTGGAGCAGCAGCAGCAGCAGCATGTGGAGTGGCAGCAGCAGTGGCAGCAGCAGCAGAAGCAGCAGTGGCAACGGAGAGAGGGTGATGTGGGGGTGGAGATGGGGAGGCAGCAGGGTGAGCAGGGAGGGTGGCAGTTGTGGGTAGGTCAACGTCCGTGTTTGCAGCAAGCAGCGTCGTATGCGGGGGAGCAGCAGATCAAGCAGGATTACCACCGACAGCAGCAGCAGCAGCAGCAGCAGCAGCAGCAGCAACAGCAGCATGTTATGGCATCTCAATCTCAGAACGATCATGCCCCGGCGATCTCTGCACCCATGGCACATGCTGCACACAGCTACACCGGCGGTGGCCCTGCATTCACTAGTGCCACTTTCCATACAGTCACATCCGCTCACCTTTATCCCCCAGATCCCAGCCTTGCACCAGTGGACATGAACAGTAGTCTGCACATTGACTTCGAGTCTCCTGGCTGGAAACCCATCTCTGCAGCAGCGAAAGATCTCATCCGTCGAATGCTCTGCATCAACCCTGATCAACGGCTGAGCTCGCTTGAAGTGCTGGAGCATCCGTGGCTGAATCAAGGGTCTGTGAGGAGCCGCGACTTGGCTGCTCTTTGCCCCGCCTTGCTGTTCCATCCACCATACCCATCCACATCCTCATCTAAATCCTCGTCAACATCCACATCTGCGCCATACCCATGCACATGCACATCTACACCTACTTTCTCGTCATCGAATCGGATTGCACCTGTGATGGCAATGCAAGGTTGATGCATTCGGGGCGGCCTGGCAGTCGTGCTGTGAAGAGACTGCACCATTGGCACAAGTGGGAATATTTGATCTATTAGATTTAGCTTCAGCTCTTGCCATTGTTCGAGGTCAAGGTCTAGGCTGTAGCATTAGATACCGTAGGTTTGAAGCCGGATTGACAGCTGTGCAGCTACCTCAGCTGTGCAGGTCAACTGTTAGATGGAGCACTGAATGTTTTCTTATGCATCACTTGCTTAATTTCCTAGTTTTATGCCAGCTTGCAGGGCCCATATGAACTACAACGGAAAGCGGATTGATCTTGTCTGGTGGATGGAGTCGTGCAGAATTTAGTTGACAAGGAAACGAAGTCCTCATTTGCTGCGTTGTTTTGAGGCAAACTTTCCCGCGAAGAATGACTATAATTTCATCTAATCGGTGAGAGGGTAACTACTTTCGCAACATTCCCGTTATGTCTTCGTACAGCACGTTTTTCGCGAACGGCTCTGCTACAAGTTTGTTGACCGAGCACCCAGCTTCCTGGTGCCTGACAGATTCTCGTGCCAAAGTTTTGTTGCTCGAGGCCATCAATACCAATCAACATTACTGCTATGCATCCATGCATGCTTATGGCTGGTAACGAGCCAGAGGATCTGAGATGAGTCTCCGCCTGGTACTATGCCGGGTTGTATTGCTGCTAATTGCGAAACCATTGGATGAGTGTACTATGAGCAATCTGACAACTGTCGCTGCCACGTGTCAGAATTAGGGGTCTGGAAACCCACCACCAAGCTAGGATAATCTGAGCAACATACCCGACTCTGTCAAAGAAACTACACAAGCGCATGCTATGTTCTTCACTCTAAAGCGGCTCCCCTAAAGACTGCTTCTGTTTCCGCGGCCAGACGCACACACACCTCGCGTCTTGTCCACCCCCTTCCCGTCCTTGCCGTGTCGCACTCCCACACACTCCGCCTGCTCGCCGCGCCGCTGTGCTGCAGTGCATGTTAGCTGACCAGCCGGGTTAGGGTTTCACTATGGTGCGAGGACGCGGCGAACGGCGTGTGGGACGACCAGCATCCTCTGATGCTTGTCCGCCGAGCCGCCCAGCCGCCGAGCAGCCGAGCCGCCGAGCAGCCGAGCCGCCGGGCATCCGAGCCGCCGAGCAGCCGAGCCGCCCTGCAGCCGAGCCGCCCGACCGCCGAGCCTCCCTGCAGCCGAGCCGCCCGACCGCCGAGCCGCCCAGCAGCCGAGCCGCCGAGCCGCACCGCAGCCGAGGCGCTGCCGCCTATCGGCCTGCCCGGGACCGCCCCACTTGCCTGGTAAGAGCAGCGCCTCTACCACTGCACTGCCCTGCCCCACTGTACTCACTGCCTGTCTACTGCTGTCATGGCCTCCCCTAGTGTTCTCACCTTTGACGCTGAGGGTCGGGCAGTTGACTTTGAGGTCTGGGTAGATGATCTGCAGATTTTCCTACAGTGCGATAGGGCAGACGGTCTCTCCCTGTTTGACCTCATTTCTGGTGCCTCTCCTGCCCCTGCTGCTGATGCTGACGCCACTGTTCGCTCACAGTGGGCCACACGTGATGCTGCTGCTCGCCTTGCTGTGCGCCGCCACTTACCGACCACTGAGCGTGCACACTTTAGCCAATACAAGAGTGCTCAGACCTTGTACGACGCTGTAGTTGCACGCTACTCTTCCCCTGCCACTGCTGCACTGAGCCGCCTCATGCTACCGTACCTCTTCCCTGACCTTGCTGCCTTTCCCACAGTCGCTGACCTCATTACGCACCTTCGCACTAGTGACACTCGCTACCGCGCTGCGCTTCCTGCTGAGTTCTGCGCCAAGAACCCCCCCCCCCATGTACATCACCCTCTACTACATAGTCACCCGGCTCCCTGACTCTCTCCGCGTAGTCAGGGACCACTTCCTCTCAGTTTGCCCCACCACTCTCACCGTTGACCTCCTCGAGAAGGCCCTCCTAGCAGCAGAGAAGAGTATAGTCGCTGTAAGAGCCTCTCGTGGTGACCCTCGCACCCCCGTCTTTGAGGGGTGTTCCCCCTCCCCCCTCTTGCCCTCTGTTGCCTCTGCTGCTGCGGCCGACCTCGTTGGTTTCGAGTCGGTCGGCGCTGCGTCTGCCCCGAGCGGGAGACGCCGCACCGGCAAGGGCAAGGGGGGCAAGGACGCTAGAGGGGCTGGCGGGGGCGGTGGAGGTGGTGGTGGAGGCAGTGGAGGGGGTGGGGGTGGTGGTGGGAGTGGTGCCGGGGGTGGCGGCGGCGGCGGCAGCAGTGGAGGCGGCTGAGGCGGCGGTGGTGGCGGAGGTGGCGGAGGAGGCGGAGGTGGAGGAGGTGGCGGAGGCGGCGGCGGCGGCGGCGGCGGTGGTGGAGCGGGTCGCGACTCTGCGCAGAGGAGTGGCTCAGGTAGTGGTCCGCGCCAGCAGCAGCGGAGTGGTGTGACCCTGTCCCCTCAGCAGCTTCGTGAGTGGTACACTGCGCGCCAGCGCGGTGGGGGTTTTGGTCCCTGCACTTACGTCCTCCGTACCGGTGACCGAGCTGGTGAGCAGTGCGGGGGCCCGCACTCCACCGAGCGCTGCTTCGGTCGCCTGACGGACGCGTGGCGTCGCCAGTTCCCTGAGGCGTCAGAGATCCCTCGCTGGGGAGATCTGTCTAGGGCGGGGGTTGCCGTCTTTGATCTTGACTATGATGCTATCCTTGCTGCCATGTATTCTATGACTACTAGTGTAGAGGGTGACTGTTACCTGTGTGTACCGCCTGACCCGGGCATTGAGGCCACTGCTCTAGGTGCTGGTGAGGCTGCTGCTCTAAGTGCTAGTGCGTCTGCTGCCCCAGGTGCCAGTGCGTCTGCTGTCCCAGGTGCCAGTGCGTCTGCTGCCCCAGGTGCTGGTGAGTCTGCTCTCTCAGGTACTACGTCGGCTCAGGCCTTCCACACCTTCACCCTTGACTCGGGTGCGTCCCGCTCCTTCTTTCGAGACCGCACCACTCTTACGCCGCTCAGTCGGCCGGTTGCAGTCTCCCTGGCAGACCCCTCTGGGGGTCCTGTCCTTGCTAGCTTCTCCATTGTCTTACCGTGCCCGGCAGCCCTCTCTGGCACCCTGTAAGGTCTCTACCTCCCCTTGTTCTCTACGAACTTGGTGAGTGGAGCGGACCTACAGGATAGGGGGGTTGACCAGTTCACTCCTGCGAGTCAGCGAGTGACCCACTGCACGTGTGCTCGGACAGGCCGACACTTGGCCACGTTCACTCGTCGGCCAGGGTCGAGCCTGTACACCCTTACTACTGAGTCTCCTCCGGCTGCTGAGTCTGGCCAGGTAGCTGCGTCGAGTCAGGTGTTTGCTGCAGCTTCCAGGTCTGGTCCTGAGTCTGCTCCCTGCTCGTGTCGTCTCCTATCCCACCAGACTCTCCTTAGGCACCACCGCCTTGGTCACCCCTCCCTGCCTCGTCTCCGAGGCATGGCCTCCCGTGTCCTTGTCTCTGGTCTCCCTCGGTCTCTCCCTCCCCTACCTCCGGGGCCTGGCCCTACCTGCGTCCCCTGCGTCGAGAGGCGACAGCGCGCCGCCCCTCACTTCCGGCCTCTCCACAGCAAAATGGGATTGCTGAGCGCCGCATTGGCATGGTCATGGACGTCGCTCGTACGTCCATGATGCATGCGGCTGCCCCCCATTTTCTGTGGCCGTTTGCGGTTCAGTACGCCGCGCATCAGCTCAACCTTCAGCCCCGGGTCTCCTTGCCACAGACCTCCCCCGCCTTGCGGTGGACTGGGAAGGTTGGCGATGCGTCTGCGTTTCGGGTCTGGGGATCTCGGGCGTTTGTCCGCGACTTGTCTACGGACAAGCTGTCCCCCCGTGCTGTTCCCTGCGTCTTCCTTGGCTTCCCCCCTGACGCGCCAGGGTGGCAGTTCTACCACCCCACCTCGCGCCGTGTTCTGTCCTCCCAGGACGTCACCTTTGACGAGTTGGTGCCTTACTACCGTCTCTTCCCCTACCGCAGTGCGCCCCTCCCCCCACCGCCGCTCTTCCTTGCACCAGGTCCTCCCCCGGTAGACCCCCTCCCCCCTCAGGTGTGTCCCAAGTAGACGCAGTCGAGCCTGTCGAGGTAGCTGTTGACTCTGGTGCTGCTAGAGGTGCTGAGCCTGCGGGTGCCGGGTTTGGGGGTGCTGAGACTGGGGGTGCTGAGCCTGGGGGTGCGGAGTCTGGGGGTGCTGAGACTGGGGGTGTTGAGTCTGGGGGTGCTGAGCCTGGGGGTGGTGGGTCTGGGGGTGCGGAGCCTGGGGGTGCGGAGCCTGGAGGTGCGGAGCCTGGGGGTGCCGAGCCTGGGGGCGCTGGGTCTGCTCGTGTGGCCGCCGGCGGTGCTTCGTTGAGGCGAGAGCCACTCTCTCCACAGGAGCTGTGCGAGTGGTTTGCCCGCCGCTGGAGACGTGCTGCTGAGACTGGGGGTGCTGCTGGGGCTACTGGAGTTGGTCTTGCTGGAGCTGCTGGGGGTGTTGGCGCTGGTGTTTCTACTGGCGCTGGTGCGTCTGGGGGTGCTGCTGAGGCTGCTGGAGCTGACGGTCCTACTGGAGTTGGTGCTGCTAGAGCTGGAGCTGCTGGGGGTGTTTGCGTTGGCGGTGCTGCTGGCGCTGATGCTTCTGAGGGTGCTGGAGTTGGCGCTGTTGGAGCTGGAGGTGCTGCTGGCGCTGGTGCTGCCGCTTGGGGTACCAGTGCCGTCCCTGCTGGTTCTAGAGGCGCTGAGCGGCCGAGGCCGTACTTCGTTCCGCTCCTGGAGCAGGTTCTTGATCTCCTGCCCTTTCCTGGTCCTGCTCCTTCCTTAGAGTGTCCACAGCCTGTCCAGTCGTAGTCACAGTTACAGCCCGCCTCCCCTCTACCTGCTCCTTCTCCCTACATTGGTCCTACTGGAGGTCTTGCTAAGCGTCGCGCGCCTGCGTCTCGTCCTGCGTCGCCTGTTCGTACTGCTCGCACTAGTGGTCATACTGCGCGTCCGCGTCCTCCTGCGGTCCCTGGCACACACCAGATGGCGCTGCGTCCTTCCACTGCTCCTCTGCGTGTCCCGTTGACGTCTCCTCCAGAGTCCCCTCTTCCTACTCTTGCTGACCCGGAGTCTGACTCCCTTCGTGCTGCTAGTCCTTTCGGTCACGCGTCTCCTTGCTACTGTTGTCACTGACCCTTCCTTTGAGTCCACTGCTGCGTCGGCCCTAGTTGCTGAGCTTGTCGACTTTGCTGCTCGCTGTCGTCTAGACTACGCTGCCAATCTCGTTGCTGAGTCTGAGTCTGTCTGTCCTCCGTCCGTCGGGGGTGAGTGTGCTCTTAGCACGGACGTCTTTGAGGACAGGTAGGATGAGTTCCAGTGCTTTGCTGCTGCTTTGCCCCATCTCGTGTCCACGTTGATTGCCCCTGAGGGAGACCCGGATGCACCAGACATCCCGACTCCTCGATCGTACACTGAGGCGATCGAGGGTCCCTACTCCTCTCAGTGGCAGTCAGCCATGGACGCAGAGATGGCTTCCTGGAAGTCCACAGGCACCTACGTCGACGAGGTTCCCCCACCTGGGGCGAACATCGTCAGTGGCATGTGGATTTTCAGGGTGAAGCGGCCGCCGGGTTCTCCGCCTGTCTACAAGGCGCGTTACATGGCTCGAGGCTTCAGTCAGCGGCAGGGAGTTGACTACTTCCAGACCTTCTCTCCCACCCCGAAGATGACCACTCTTCGGGTGCTGCTGCACATAGCCGCTCAGCGCGACTACGAGCTTCACTCTCTTGACTTCAGCACAGCTTTCCTGCAGGGCAGCCTGCACGAGGAGATCTGGCTGCGCCGCCCACCTGGCTTCACTGGGTCGTTTCCCCCTGGTACCCAGTGGAGCCTCCGGCGGCCAGTCTACGGTCTCCGCCAGGCACCCCGTGAGTGGCACGACACACTGAGGACTACACTTGCGGCTCTTGGGTTTGCTCCTTCTACAGCCGACCCGTCGCTGTTTCTGCGCACCGACACCTCTTTGCCGCCGTTCTACATCCTCGTGTACGTCGACGACTTGGTCTTTGCCACAGCTGTCACTGCTGGACTCGCCCACGTGAAGTCCGAGCTGCAGAAGAGACACACGTGCACAGACCTGGGTGAACTGCGCAGCTACCTTGGCTTGCAGATCACCCGGGACAGAGCACAGCGCACCATTACCCTGACTCAGTCACACATGGTGCAGCAGGTCCCTCAGCGCTTCGGCTTCACGTACTCCTCGCCTCAGGCCACTCCTCTGTCTACTCGCCACTCGCTCTCAGCTCTGTCTTCGGATGAGTCCGTAGAGCCAAGTGGCCCGTACCCAGAGCTTGTTGGCTGCCTCATGTACCTGATGACCTGCACACGACCTGACCTTGCATACCCTCTTAGCATCTTGGCACGCTATGTTGCTCCTGGGAGACACCGACCAGAGCACATGGCTGCAGCGAAGAGGGTGTTGCGCTACGTGTGCATTACGTCGGGCATGGGGCTAGTGCTTGGAGGGCGACGTCGAGTGGTCGTTACAGGTAACGCTGACGCTTCTTGGGCTGACGACCAGGCTCTGCAGCGGTCGTCACAGGGTTACACCTTCAGCCTTGGCTCTGGCTCTGTTTCGTGGCGGTCTACCCGCTCGTCCTCTGTTCTCAGCTCCAGCTGTGAGGCTGAGATCTACGCAGGGGCCATGGCTGCACAGGAGCTACGCTTGCTCACCTACCTGCTGACTGACCTAGGAGAGCCGCCTCGTTCTCCTCCAGTTCTGTACGTAGACAACAAGGCCATGCTGACCTTGTGTCTAGAGCACAGACTGGAGCACAGAACGAAGCACATTGCTCTCCGCTACTTCCTGGCTTGTGAGCTGCAGCAGCGTGGTCAGCTCCGCCTCACCTACGTGGCCTCTGAGGCCAACACTGCTGATATCTTCACCAAGGCCCTTCCGCCTTGTGATCATCAGCGCTTCTGTACTTTGCTAGGTCTTGTGCCTAGCTGGCCTCACTTGCTCACTTCTTGATCTTGTTTGTACTGTACTCTTTCTATACCTGCACTTGCTTGTTTACCTTTATACATATGATCTTGCATGTGAACTGGCCTTGTGGCCTTGCTCTTGTGCTCGGACTGTGTGGTGACTTTGTGATCCACCCTGAGCTTGCTTTGCTTCGCTTGACTGGTCTTGTGACCACTTCTTCTCCCCCACTTTGCCTATGGGGGTGTGTCAGAACATTACAGCTTATACATCTGTGTAGGCTGTAGTGGGGTAGCCCGTAAGGGGTACAACCCAATTAGGGTTAGTACTTGTACCCAACTGTTTCATAGTTCAATCATTCTCGTTCTAATCTTCACAATACCCCTTAGAAGCACGATTGTTGATGCTGCGCTTGTATGTTCCCTTATCATCCCATCATACAGGTGTGAACAAGCGCGAAGTGCGGAAGGAGATGAGCACGTTTTTGTCTGTGCTGTCCGGGGCGCCAAAGGAGGAGCAACCCTTCCATGCGGGGTTACGGGCGATCCTGTCAAATGCGGACTGGCAGCGGACCTATCTGAACCTGGTGCGGCTGTGGGCGGCTGTGGCAGTGTTGCCGCTCAGCACGGTGGAGTGCGAGCGCGGATTCTCGCGCCAGAATGTCATCAAGAGCTGGCAGCGGACCAGCTTGTGCGATGCAAAGTTGGGCGACCTCATGACGCTGAGTCTACTGGAGTACGACATGGAGTGGAGTGAAGTTGTGGCACTGTGGCGCAGCACCAAAAAGAGGCGACCCACCAAGCGCAAGGCAGCCACGGTGAATGTATCAAAGAGGAGTGTCAAACATTATATATGTTGTGCTTGTTTAGGCTACAGAAGGTTAGCCTATAGGGGGTACACAATTCTAGGGTTAGGTACTTGTACTGATTTCACTGTTAGTTCAATCATTCCTGTTCATTCATTTCAACATGGTATAGAGCAGGTCCTTCCTAGGACCGATTTTTTTTAGGGCCCACCACTACCTACCTACCTACCTACCTACCTACCTGCGCCCTAGGGCGCCTCGGTTTTTACGGCCCTCTAAGGCCCCGCGACCCGCGACCCGCCCCTTAGCGACTCGCGCGCCGCCCCTTAAGGCCCCGTCGGCCCATG